GGCTCCCTAGCCTCGACTGGGAGTCCCAGGCAGCGCTGGGAGCGATTCCTTTGAGTGGCCCGCGGAGGAGCAGCAAGGGAGGCGTTACCCCTCGTGAAGTGAGGGGTTATTGCTCCGGATTGCCGTGCGGGCGCTCCCCTTGCTAGCGCGACGTAAGGCCAGTTACTTTGAAATAGCGCTGTGCTGCGTCTAGACGTGCCAGCTGTCTACACTGGCCGCTTGAATTTCCACAAGAGCACGGACCATCTCGTGTAAGAAATCGGTGCTTCTTGCGGAAATACCGCGCTGCTCCCATTCGGGCAAAAGGGCCAGTGTAGACAGCTCAGATTTGTTTTGCGCAAAAAAGCCCCGATTGCGAAAATGGCGATCGATCTAGATTGGCACGGACGCTTTTCCTCAAAAGCATTTTTTGCAGAAAAGTGTCCGGGCCAATCTAGACGCGCTTTTCCGCAAATGCTTTTAATGCTGTGAAAAGCATTTGCGGAAAATCACGCCAGTCTAGACGTAGCTGGAGTGTAGACGTGCCCTTGCTGTTCACCACTTCCACGCTCGTCTCAGCCTGAGTTGGTCTCTCTTCAGGTGCCAGCCACGGGCTCCGGTGAGGCCTTTCCTGCTTTTGCTGGAGCTTTGCCCATTTACAGCAGCTAGACTGTTACCCAAGGCGCCATTCAGGAGGGACTAAGGGTCGGGACCCCCCGACATGGGAGCCCTGCATTTCATGACTGACGTCTGCTTAAACCACATGCTCTGGCTACCCCAGAGACAGCGCTCAGGCTGCTCCCAGCTTTGCCTTCGGGGCAGGGTGGGTAAGAGACCCAAGGGCTGGTCGTTCCGGTAAGGGCAGGATCGTAAGACGACCATGGGACATTGCTGGGTGCGTAGGAATGAAGGGCTCTGCATAGGGACCTGTGCTGTGAGCTTGCTCATACGTGATGTCAGGTGGCAACATTTGCAGATGATGCAACATTTCACAAATGTGCCAAGTCCAAAGCTGCCTGCAGCGCTGAGAAGGGATCCCACAAACTGGGTGACTGGGCAACACAAGGGCAGGTGGAATTCAGTGCTGATAAATCCCCCGTCTGTTCGTTGCTTCTGAAGCACCTGGCGCTGGCAGACAGGACGCTGGGCTGCATGGACCGTTGGTCTGACCCCGTGTGGCCGTTCTTATATCGAGCCCAAATGTATCTGCCCCCTGCTGTAACCACTAGACGCTCTCCCCTCCCAGAGCTGAGAGAGCCCAGGAGTCTGACAGGGTCTCTCTCCACAGAGCAAGCACCAAAGTGAGAATATACATTCCAATTTGAAGGCTAATCGATGTCCCTTACGTGACTTGCCACAAGATGTCAGAATAGGTCAGTATTGGAGCTGAATGGGTCTCATCTTTATTTCATGTTCTTTCTTTTGTACAGGAATTAGATACAGTGCTCCTGCCAGCTAAGTGATAAGTGATCTGCCAAAAACCTAGTTTTCCGGTGCCTTAGTAGCTTCCTGGACAGCAATGATGTGTGTGTCGGGGGAGAGCGGATGGGGTTAGGGTTAGGGCGGGGGCTCGGGGGCGGGGTCCCTCCATAGCCCGAGCATGTGGCTATGGA